TAATAAATGCAGTGTGTGTGTGTGTGTGTGTGTGTGTGCGTGCGTGTGTGNCGGAGGAAAGTGTTGCTGTATAAAGAACGTGTTCTCAGTGTGAAGGTCGGAGGAAAGTGTTGCTGTATAAAGAACATGTTCTCAGAGTGAAGGTCGGAGGAGAGTGTTACTGTATAAAGAACATGTTCTCAGAGTGAAGGTCGGAGGAGATTGTTGCTGTATAAAAAACGTGTTCTCAGAGTGAAGATCGGAGGAGATTGTTGCTGTATAAAGAACGTGTTCTCAGAGTGAAGGTCGAGAAGTATTGCTGTAGACAGGAGCAGAGAACAGCGTAATGTTGTTGGACAGGAGAATTGTGTGACCATGGTCAAGTGATTGATTGATGAGCGTATAGATAGGTGACAATGTGTGTAGCGTTGAGGTAGAAAGATGGGAGAAAAAATTCACGGAGTGTAACACTAAACTGAAATCGCGTAAGACTGTCGTAACGTTGATTTCGATCTTTTCGATCTGCACTGAGCCATCATGTATTTATCAAACTTGTTTATTGTATTGTATTGTATTGCATTGTATTATAATGTATTGTTTATTGTGTGTTGTGTGGTGTTGTGTTAAAAGCATTTTATCATCTACAGCAGATAAAGGTCATGTGTAGTTGAGGGTTGTAAATATTATATGTTAAGCATTGGACTTTCTTCTTGACAGTCGGTAGCCCGGATATCCGCGCTAAGCGCGAAAAACGCCGCATAGCGGCACACTAACACAACTACGCTGCACCGATTCCACGCAATGAACAGGTCCACTATATATGCAGAAACTCTGCAATCGGTCCATTGAGCAGTCACTACCCAGGTAGCTAGACATTTCCTCGAAGTGCTCGTACAAAATATTTGGTTACACGGCGCGCTTTGTTTCTTGTAAAAAACCCAGTTTAACTTTTTTGTTGACATCAGTGTGCATCAGTATACATCAGTGTAGTACATATGGCGTGCGATAGATGGCGCAACGAGGCTATATGCATAGCATTTGGCGAGCACTTTGCGTGCAGGCAGCTCGGCCGGCTATAACCTAGACTCGTACCTGGTCAACAGTTCGGTACAACAATAGAGAGCATGGCGAGACACTGTTTACTCGGCTACACAACAAATTGTGTTTACACAGGTCTTCACTCAGGGTCATACAATTGTATCCACACCTACGAATACTTCTATTACTACAAGTACATGTTACAATAATTACTAGTAAGTACTACTACTACTACTAAGTACCAGCACTACTACGACTAGTACTAGTACTAGTTACTACTACTACTAGGACTACTAGTACTACTACTACTAGTTACTACTATAGTACTAGAGCTACTACTACTAGTACTAATACTATATAGAGTACTACTACTAGAGGTAATACTACTACTAGCTCCAAGAAACGGTCTTTGCTAGGGTTAGAATACCCCTATACTAGACAACCCCTGCTTATATAGCAAGCAATTTACTCTAGGTAGTTCCTGATACTGACATTGACAATGGTAGTGGGAGATTGTAGTGGTAGGGGTGCATTAGTCCGAGCCGACGCAGACCCCAGTAATGGGGGTGATGATAAACCCGCACCCTCGGATTAGCAAAGCGGATGCATTTGCGCACTAGGGCTGCATATGATATAAGGCAAGGTCACATAGATGATAGAGATGCCAGATAATGTATTAATTGTTTATATACAGAAAAAGAAGCTCTCAGCAAATGATTAGATACTATATATAATGCTAATGAAGTAAGCTGTATTGAAATGCTGCACTTTCGCCTTAATGCTGTCATCGAAAATCGAAAATCAAAATACTAACTCCTTCGTACACTCAGGATACCACTGCCACAATGCTAGCAGTATTTTTAAAGTGGGCGGAGCTCCGGGGAAATACAGCGAATGGCGATTCTTAAACAGCGTATGATTTCAAAGAGGTAACTGGGCGCACAATCCGCGTACTATCTCGTATCACTATTTTATCAAATTTTCCATTAAATAATGGTCCGATTTTTCTTATGTTTCGAATCCGCGCTCAGCGGTTACGATCAACACCTCCTTTCGGCAACACTTCTCTGGTATCCCGTCTCATCTGGATCCACGTGTTAATGATGTGTTAATAAATGCCGCAACAGATGTTGTATGCAGATCGAAGGTTCTAAGTGATTGTTTTAAGTGCAGGGGATATATCCGACATCTGTTACTTATTTTGTTTAAAATACATTACGCTGATGCACTCGAACTTCATAACTCTAAATGCGTTGCTGATTGTTCGTATGTATGCGTATTTTCCTGCGTGGTTGTGGCTTGTGTGCATGGCAGCAGCTGTTAACGGACGGCATAGATGTATATTTCAGCATAAAATCATCTAATCATTCATTAAATCATTCATCATTCATCAGCATCTAATCATTCATAGAATCGTAAATTTTATCACTATCATACTCCTTGTCAAATGACCTGATAAACGTAGGTGGTGACGACTTGCAACAAGGTACGTAGTATCGATAAAATGTGTTAGGCCTCATTCGCTGTCTGTGTTGTTGTATTAGCCTGTAAAAGTATATTTTTATCTACATGTTTTCTTCCATAAAATATCAAATTCAATTACATTTTTCTTTTGTTTATTCTTTGTATACCTGGAGGATTTGGTTTATCTCAGAGCCTGAGCCTTACTTTCCATGTGTTCATAACACGTGATTCAATAATAGATATTCACCGGCTGTTGTTGTTTCTCTTCGGTATACACTTAATATTTGTATTATTGTATTTGTTCGTGATTGTGCGTAGAAATATATTCGTCAACGCTCGTTTTGTCTTGGTAATAAATTCTGTGTTCTCATTGAAACCATTGTGTTGTTGAACATATTGTGTTTTGTTGCAAATCGCGTGAAATCTTGCTGCAAGGTATGTTTAGTGTGTTTGCCATATACACGGTAGTGAGAGCGCGGCGCAATGGTCTGGATCCACGATAAAAAAAAATTTTTTGTATAAGATGCTACTGTGTAAACGTACATAAACAATCGTACGTAACAGCAATCACAGTTATAGCAGAACAGTCTGTTAAGCCCGGCGCACACGTGGCGATTTTTATCGACAGTACCGGCGATTCTGTTGCCAGCAACAAAATCGCCGAGAAATCGCCACGTGTGCGCTGCCCGGCGTCACCGATTTTGTCGCCAGAAACTCGTCGCTGGCGTATAAAGGAGGCGATACTCACTCACTCACTCACTCACTCACGCACTCACTCGCTCACTCACCCACTCCCTATCTACCGACATCTCCCCCCTCTCTCTCTCTCTCTCTCTCTCTCTCTCTCTCTCTCTCTCTCTCTCTCTCTCTCTCTCTCTCTCTCTCACTCTCTCTCTCTCTCTC